TTATTTCCCTATTTATTTCACCATAATTTCACTATTTATTTCCCTATTTTTTTCCACTATGTATTTCCCTATTTATTCCCCTATTTATTTCCCTATTTATTTCCCTATTTATTTCACTATTTATTTCCCTATTTATTTCCAAATTTATTTCCCTATTTATGTCACTATTTATTTCCCTATTTATTTCCCTATTAATTTCCCTATTAATTTCCCTATTAATTTCCCTATTTATTTCCCTATTTATTTCCCTATTATTTCCCTATTTATTTCCCTATTTATTTCCCTATTTATTCCCCTATTTATTTCCCTATTTATTTCCCTATTTATTTCCCTATTTATTTCCCTATTTATGTCCCTATTTATTTCCCTATTTATGTCCCTATTTATTTCACTCTTTATTCCCCTATTTATTTCCCTATTTATCTTCCTATCTATTTCCCTATTTATTTCCCTATTTATTCCCCTATTTATTCTCCTATTTATTTCCCCATTTATTTCCCTATTTATTTCTCTATTTTTTCCACTATGTATTTCCCTATTTATTCCCCTATTTATTTCCCTATTTATTTCCCTATTTATTTCCCTATGTATTTCCCTATTTATTTCCCTATTTATTTCCCTATTTATTTCCCTATTTATCTCCCTACTTATTTCCTTATTTATTTCCCTATTTATTTCCCTATTTATGCCCCTATTTATTTCCCTATTAATTTCCCTATTAATTTCCCTATTTATTTCCCTATTTATTTCCCTAGTTATTTCTCTATTTTTTTCCACTATGTATTTCCTATTTATTCCCCTATTTATTTCCCTATTTATTTCCCTATTTATTTCCCTATTTATTTCCCTATTTATCTCCCTATTTATTTCCCTATTTATTTCCCTATTTATTCACCCATTTATTTCCCTATCTTTTTTCCCTATTTATCTCCCTATTTATTCCCCTATTTATTTCCCTATGTACTTCCCTATTATTTCTATTTATCTCCCTATTTCTTTCCCTATTATTTCTCTATTTATGTCCATATTTACACACCTATTGACTTCCCTATCTATTTCACCATTATTTCCACATTTATTTCCTTACCTATTTCCCTATTTATTTCCCTATTTATTTCCCTATTTTTATTTTCTATTTATTGCCATATTTAATTTATATATTTCCCTATTTATTTCCCTATTTATTTCCTTATTTATCTCCCTATTTATTTCCCGATTTATTTCCCTATTTATTTCCCTATTATTTATTCTCTACTTATGTCCCTATAATTTCCCTATTATTTCCCTATTTATTGCCCTATTTATTTCCCTATTTATTTCCCTATTTATTTCCCTATTTATTTTCCTATTTATTTCCCTATTTATTTCACTATTTATTTCCCTATTTGTTTCCCTATTTATTTCCCTATTTATTTCCCTATTTATTTTCCTATTTATTTCCCTATTTATTTCCCTATTTATTCCCCTATTTATTTCCCTATTTATTTCACTATTTATTCTCCTATTTATTTCCCTATTTATTTCCCTATTTATTTCCCTATTTATTCCCCTATTTATTCACCTATTTATTTCCCTATTTATTTCCCTATTTATTTCCCTATTTATTTTCCTATTTATTTCCCTATTTATTTCACTATTTATTTCCCTATTTCTTTCCCTATTTATGTCCCTATTTATCCCTATTATTTCCCTATTTATTTCCTTATTTATTTCGTTTATGTCATTATTTATTTCCCTATTTATTTCCCCATTTATTTCCCTATCTTTTTCCCTATTAATGTCCCTATTTATTTCCCTATTAATTCCCCTATTAATTTCCCTATTTATGTCCCTATTTATTTCCGTATTTATGCCCCTATTTATTCCCCTATCAATTTCCCTATTAATTTCCCTATTTATTTCCCGATTAATTTCCCTACCTATTTCCCTATTTATTTCCCTATTTATGCCCCTATTTATTTCCCTATTAATTTCCCTATTAATTTCCCTATTTATTTCCCTATTTATTTCCCTAGTTATTTCTCTATTTTTTTCCACTATGTATTTCCTATTTATTCCCCTATTTATTTCCCTAGTTATTTCTCTATTTTTTTCCACTATGTATTTCCTATTTATTCCCCTATTTATTTCCCTATTTATTTCCCTATTTATTTACCTATTTATTTCCCTATTTATTTCCCTATTTATCTCCCTATTTATTTCCCTATTTATTTCCCTATTTATTCACCCATTTATTTCCCTATCTTTTTCCCTATTTATCTCCCTATTTATTCCCCTATATATTTCCCTATGTACTTCCCTATTATTTCTATTTATCTCCCTATTTCTTTCCCTATTATTTCCCTATTTATGTCCATATTTACACACCTATTGACTTCCCTACCTATTTCACCATTATTTCCACATTTATTTCCTTACCTATTTCCCTATTTATTTCCCTATTTATTTCCCTATTTATTTCCCTATTTTTATTTTCTATTTATTGCCATATTTAATTTATATATTTCCCTATTTATTTCCCTATTTATTTCCCTATTTATCTCCCTGTTTATTTCCCGATTTATTTCCCTATTTATTTCCCTATTATTTATTCTCTACTTATGTCCCTATAATTTCCCTATTATTTCCCTATTTATTCTCTACTTATGTCCCTATAATTTCCCTATTATTTCCCTATTTATTTCCCTATTCATTCCCTTATTTATTTCCCTATTTATTTCCCTATTTATTTCCCTATTTATTTCCCTATTTATTCCCCTATTTATTCCCCTATTTATTTCCCTATTTATTTCCCTATTTATTTCCCTATTTATTTCCCTATTTATTTCCCTATTTATGTCCGTATTTATCCCTATTATTTCCCTATTTATTTCCTTCTTTATTTCATTTATGTCATTATTTATTTCCCTATTTATTTCCCTATTTATTTCCCTATTTATTTCCCTAGTTATTTCTCTATTTTTTTCCACTATGTATTTCCTATTTATTCCCCTATTTATTTCCCTATTTATTTCCCTATTATTTCCCTATTTATTTCCCTATTTATTTCCCTATTTATTCCCCTATTTATTGCCCTATTTATTCCCCTATTTATTTCACTATTTATTCCCCTATTTATTCCCCTATTTATTTCCCTATTTATTTCCCTATTTATTTCCCTATTTATTTCCCTATTTATTTCCCTATTTATGTCCCTATTTATCCCTATTATTTCCCTATTTATTTCCTTATTTATTTCATTTATGTCATTATTTATTTCCCTATTTATTTCCCTATTTATTTCCCTATTTATTTCCCTATTTATTCCCCTATTTATTCACCTATTTATTTCCCTATTTATTTCCCTATTTATTTCCCTATTTATTTCCCTATTTATTTCCCTATTATTTCCCTATTTATTTCCCTATTTATTCCCCTATTTATTGCCCTATTTATTCCCCTATTTATTTCACTATTTATCTCCCTTATTAATTTCCCTATTTATTTCCCTATTATTTCCCTATTATTTCCCGTATTTTGTCCCTATTTATTTCCCTATTTATTCACCTATTATGTACCTATTTATTTCCCTATTTATTTCCCTATTATTTCCATATTCATTCTCTTTTTTCCCTATTTATTTCCCTATTGATTTCCCTATTTATTTTCCTATTTATTTCACCATTATTCCCCTATTTATTTCCCTATTTATTTCACCATTATTTCCACATTTATTTCCTTACCTATTTCCCTATCTATTTCCCTATTAATTTCGTATTTATTTCTCTATTTGTTTTCCTATTTATTTACCTATTATTTATTTCCCTATTTTCCATATTTATTCCATTTATTCCCCTATTTGTTTCCCTATGCTTTTTCCTATTTATTTCCCTATTTATTTCCATGTGTTTTCTCATTTATTTCCCTATTTATTTCCTCATTTTCCATTATTTTCCTTCGCTATGTTTTCCCTATTATTGCCCTATTATTTCCTTTCCCTATTATGTCCTTTTCATTTCCCTATTTGTAATTTTCTTTTTTCATTGTTATTTCCTTTTTTTCTCACGAATTTCCTATTATCTCTTCATGATTTGACTATCTTTCCCTATTATTTCTGTATGATCTTCTATTTTCCTAGTGAGCAGCGTCGACAACATCCCTTCATGTGCATTCGGAAAAGCAAGCGAGGAACCGCATGAGGAGGGAGGGGCACAAATCTCAAATCCTATTCATTGACATGATCAAACATTGTTGACACCATTCAAAAACTAAAGGGTTTTGAAAGCAGAGATCTTCTTACTTGCTGAATTTGATAAACAAAAATAACACCCTCTACAAAATCAGACTTATTAAGCAAGATTTTACACCCTATAGAATCAGAACCGCCATCTCGATATTTGGTCGAAAACCCGAAAAGAGGCACTCTATAGAATAAGAACCAGGAAATCGAAACTCTATAGAATCTAAACACCAGCTTCCAAGGCAGGCAAAGTGCGTAATAAAAAACGATTTATTTGGAGCACGTGCTCCAAGATCTTGCAGAGGAAATTGGCAGGGGGATATGGTATTATACCAACTATATAATATGTATATATTATAAACATATCTTCGGCCATTTTGTTAAGAACCATCCTTCGGCCGTTTAGTCCTCCAACCAAATGTTCAAATTCAACAAACGACAGTTGTCGGTTCCCGTTGGTTCCCGTTTCCATCTCCGACCTCTGCCAGCTTTCCATGGTGTTCCATCATCCTTCGTATCGTTTCCCGCACTGCCGCGCTAAGATTGGTCGCTCCCAATGGGTGCCCCGTTCCAGGGCGTCCTCATCCGGCTGAGGATGAGACTCTATGATGATCCCATATGATCCCCTTTTTTAGTTCTTGTTTGCAAATGTTTGCCACTTTTTTGACTGTGGTTCATTACATCGTTTTTTTGTTGGATCTACCAGATGCAAACTGTGGATAATGCGCCTGCTGGGAAAATTGATTCAGCATATGTGGCTTCAACTGTTCTCAGCGTTTCTCGACCATGAAGTTTTGTCGTGATATGTGGCTGCTGGAGACTCGTTCTCATGAGACCAGTCAAAGTCAGAATTGACCATGCCACTTGACAGTCCAACAATGTCATCTGGAGAATACCTCCACTTTGCCCCTCAAACTACTCAAACATACTGTGATCCCAGCTGAACATGCTTTTTGGACCGAAATCCGTGAAACATCGTGAAACATCGTGAAACCTGAATCTGTGAAACCTGGGGTGAAACATTCCAACATCAGTCAAAATCAAGGGCTTCTTTCACAGTACCATATTCACGCATCATCTTCACCACGATCTTTTCGGCTGAGGTCTGACACTTGCTTTTCAGTTCATAGAGCGCCTTCAAAAAATCTCTGCAGGAAAATTTCAAAACCTTCTCCCCATCAATAGGTTTCTCCACCCGAGGCATCTCGGTAAGTTTGCTGCTGTCGCAGTGACATGCAAACCAGAGCCTGGAAAAATCCGGAAACATCCACAGCGCCGAATTTTCACATGGAACCCCCAAAAATGGAAGTTTGAAGATGATTCTCCTATTAATATCTATTAATTGTGGCATTTTTGAGGTTTGTGAAACTTAGGGGGTGTAATCTTTTCTAAACAAATCAAACTTGGAGGAGAGATTAGCTACTTTACAAAATCATATTATTTAGCCTTTCCTTTTGCAAACATCTTTCAATCTGTTCTTCCTACAGAAAACAGCATCTTAGAAACCCATCCCTTCTCAACTCCCATGATCCAAGAGACACATCTGCCAGCTGCAAAACATTGGTGTCCAATGTCTCAGTACACATGGTTTCTTGGTACTTCACACTGGGGAACTGGATCCGGATCTGAGTTCGGTAGCCCCCAGGGGCTTCCGCATCTGCGATGACCACCAGATTTTCCATGGTAAACACCGAGAGACATGGGGTCGTGTAGAGAGAGTGCTTCCATGCTTGAAACGCCGTCATGGCCAAATACATCCTGTGATCATTGCGAACCTCCTGTTTCAGAAGATGGGATTCTAAAGTGTCACCCGTTTTTGTATACATCACTCCGATGACCTTGCTTTCTTTCACTGGCACGTCACGATTCTCCACCACACAACCCCACATCTTCACAAAGCCCGGGAAATTTTGATCCGTCCATTTGGCAAACTGGGCCAGGGTTGCCAGTCCATGAGCTCCAACTTTCGCTTCAGCCAACTCCAAATATTCCAAAGCTCCCAGCTGTTCTCTCACCTCCTCCTGTCCAGCCTGGGCATTGAACAGCCGATCACCGTTGAGGAACACCTGTCGCACCTCCGACTCCACGATGAATTCCTCTTTCAAACACAGTGCTACAGTCTCTGCCAGGGTCACTTGTTCCTTCTCTTCGGCCTTGGAAAACGTGGGAAAAACTGGGAAAATATCAAAAACACATGGAAAAAACACCATGAAAACAACGCGTGAAACACATCCCAATTGTTCCGAAGTCTCTTCCATTCAGTCTTCAACAATCAAGATGTTTTAGGGAGATTGATATCATCTATCTTCCCCCGTTGGCAGTAGTATGGTCCCAGGTGCACCCGGTCCCGGTGTTCCCACCTCCAGCAGCCGCAGTGCTTCGCGCAAGGTCTGCCGCTCTGCGTCGCTCAACGTGGCCGCCAGTTGCTGCAGCTCTTCCGCCGAGCAACTGGCGAAGTCAGCCATGGGGAGTGGATTTGGTGATGGCTTGAGCTATACCAAAACCATACAATGGTCCAAAAACCATACCAATACCTGGAGAAATCTGGAAAACTGGAGAATGATTGATGTTTTTTGGGGGATGTTGCGAATTCTGTTCAAGATTGGATGAGGATATATATATATATACATATATATATATATATATATGTATATATATATATCCTCATCCAATGAGGATGAGCGATGTGTGTTTCTTGAAACGACATGCCAAGGGAGTTGTGCCGAAGTACTTAAAATGATTTGGAGTGGGACATAATTGAAAACGATTGAGCCCTGAAAACGTGCAAGGTGCTTTGGCCATCTTTCGCAAACGATCTTTTGGTCAGATGCATCTCAAGAACTCTCAAGAGGCCATTCTAGCTTTTTCCCAACAACTCAAGCGGGAAAAGTGCGGTGAAACGGACATTAAGTTAGATCGCTTGCCCGCGCCAGTCCTGACTGCTTTAGGGTCTGGCTGCTGTACTCTGGGCCAACAAGGGCGTTTCACGTGCTCGACGTGTCTTTTGCACGTCGTGTTTCATGCCTGGCTTCGGACATAGCGACAGCAAACACTGGGATTTTCAGTGAGGACCTAGGGGACACCCTGAACTAAGCCTGCAAACACTGGGGAACCTCACTATGGCAAAATGTCAATACCTCTGGTATCATCACAAAACTGCAGCCTGTCGATAGCCACCAACCAACGCTTTCGATGGCGAATCCAGTTCCTGTACGATGGGATGGTGGGGATGGCGGCTGTGATCCATCTAGGATCAGCTGAATTCAAAGGCGTCCGGGGCAGCTGATGGACCTGATTTTCACATATTTTCACCATTTTTCTGGTGTTTTTTTTGGCTTTCTCTGACGATATTTATGGGTCCCTAAAATCACTGGGGAAACCCTACCAAAAAATCCCTGACCTCAAGCAGCTTGGGTACAGCCCCAGTGGCTGCACCCAGTTGTAAAGGGCACATGACCAAGGGAACCTGAGGGCAAATGAGCCGAGGACCAACAAAAATCAAGGGGTATAGGGGATGGGCGGGATGGGTTTATATTACAAACCGACCAAAAAAATGGATGGTCTACATGGTTTAATCCTGGTTTAAAGTTGTTTCATCAACGTACCTTATATAAGCTTTGGGGTTGCTGGGCACCGCATCGGCATTCGTGACCCATACCCAAACTGATGTCCAAGCCCTGTTTGAATTCAACCAGGAAACGACTTGGCAATTCTGCTTGGTGGTTCCACCACTGCAAAAAATATGAAAGTTAACTGGGATCACTATCCACCAAAAAACATGGTAAAATATATCAGATCATAGCTGAAACCGCCACAATATATATAGAGGTGTCCGCGCCGGTGAGTCTTGGGGGGTATCCCAAATCAAGGAGTTCTTATGGATGGCCATGACCATCCATGAGTTCTTATGGATACCCATGGTGACGACTGGGGATCCAGGGACCTGAAGATCATCCTCCGAATCACCATCTTCCTCTGGCGCCTCATTGGAGAATTGGACATCCACATTGGAAAGGATGGATTCCTCCGAGTTTGCCATGTTTCTTGGGGGCTAATCCATGCCCAACTTTCCTGGAAGGTCTTGGACTTTAGAATCTTAGTTCTATCATATATAATATCCATTCATCTGTTATAGTGATTCATGTTGATTCAGTTGATTCAGTTGATTCAGTTGATTCTGAACTGAACGATGTTGGAATTGAAATTTCAAACAGGGCCTGTGTTGAAACACAGCGACGCGCGCCTCCGTAAAGCCAACAGCCTGGGTCATACTTCACCATGCCATCCCATGACATAAAGGGGGTCAATATGGGTCAATCATTTTGTAAGTGCTTTTAAACATCTTTTAACATCTTTTAACCACTCTCAGGGTCTGATGGTCACTGATGGTCCGATGTTTTAACCAGCCTTGTAGAAGGAGACCAGCTCTCTCTTGGAGAAAAGGGTCAACTTTTCCACCTCGGCACGACAACACTCTATTTCATGATGAACATCACCCGAAAAGCACTTTTTAGATCTTTAACATACCGTTGTTTATAACTTGTCAACTCATATCAGCTTATCAGTCCTAGTAACCTAGATTAACATAGATTAACCTAGTGAGTGTTCGTACTAATGTGGTAAACCCAATGTCATTAACCATCCCCACACCATTTTTTTGGGTGGTCACCATCCCCAAATGGCAGCTGAGCTTTCCCCCGAGCCGCGCACCTTCTGTTCCAGGCAGCATTGACAAACTGGCGACAGAAGGGGGCCGGATTTCCGGCAGAAACAGATCAGGATTTCGATGGATTTCAGATGCTTTATTAATGATTTTCATTGATCTTTACATGAATTGACCCCCTAAAACTTGCTGAATCAAGTTGATAGAATGCTGAAAACCACGATCTTTCCAGCTGAAACTTCACAACATGTTTAAAATATCCTTGAAGTTCACACATATTTCACATTCGAAACATGCGAAGAAAGTTCCCCAGTGGCTTCCTCAGTGGCTCACTGGGTCGCCGGCCATGCTGCACCAGTCGACGACCGTGTCCTTTCCCTCGCTCTTCTGGGATGATGGCAATGTAGCGGAGCGACCTAACCCGACGAATTGTGATGAACTTGGGATAAACTATAATGTATAGTATTGTGATATATAATATACTATCATATATGGATCAATATATTGTAACATAACATAGACCCGGGCAAGCCGGCGGCGGAAGTTTCCCAAGAATAAATGACCTATAGTTCAAGGCCAGCCTGTCCCGAGCGTGTCCTTCCCTCGACAAGCGGTTTTTTTTTCAGCGAGAGACGAAGCAAAGTTTTCACACTCCACACTTCACACTTCACTCTTCGCACTCCAAACTTCACACTCCACAGTCCACACTTCACACTTCTCACTGCTTCCTTCACACTCCAAACTTCACACTCCACACTTCACACTTCGCACTTCACAGTCCACACTTCTCACTTCTCACTGCTTCCTTCACACTCCAAACTTCACACTTCACACTTCTCACTTCGCACTTCACACTCCACACTTCACACTCCACACTTCACAGTCCACACTTCACACTTCTCACTTCGCACTGCTTCCTTCACACTCCAAACCTCACACTTCACACTTCTCACTTTGCACTTCACACTCCACACTTCACACTTCACACTTCTCACTTCGCACTTCACACTCCACATTTCACACTTCACACTTCACAGTCCACACTTCACACTTCTCACTGCTCACTGCTTCCTTCACACTCCAAACTTCACACTTCACACTCACTTCGCACTTCACATTCCACATTTCACACTTCACACTTCACAGTCCACACTTCACACTTCTTACTGCTCACTGCTTCCTTCACACTCCAAACTTCACACTTCACACTCCACACTCCACACTTCACACTGCACTCTTTGCACTCCAAACTTCACACTCCACACTTCAGAGTCCACACTTCACTTTCTAGTCATTTATTCTTGGGACACTAATGCCGTCACTTCTACTTCCCACTGTCATTACCTAAAAAGGGGCCAGTCCAAACAGTTACAATACTCATTGTCACTACAGTTACAGCCACAACGGTCATTGTCAAAGTAGTCTTTGTCATAGTATCTATGGTCACAGTAGTCATGATCAGAATAGTCACAGTCACAGTCACATCAGGTATGGTCACACTAATCAAAGTCACGGTGGTCATTTTATGGAGGTTATCAACATACACCCGCACGAACGATGGAATTACTTCACACTCCACACTTCACACTTGTCACTTCTCACTGCTTCCTTCACACTCCAAACTTAAACTTCACACTCCACACTTCACACTTCTCACTTCCCACTGCTTCCTTCACACTGCACACTTCACACTGCACTCTTCACGCCCCACACTTCACTGCTCTAAACCTACGTGCAACGGCGTCGGAAAATTGTAGCTCCAAAACCGGATCTCGACGCCAGAGCGAAAAAAAAACGATTTTGAAGCACTTTTTAAAAGGATTTTTAAAAGGAAAATTACTAGCGCCAAAATGGAGGAAATCTGCTGACAAATCACTGTCGCAGCCTTCATGCAGCCACTCCAATACGATTTACGAAGTCCAGCTGCAAAAGACAATAGTATTACGCATGCAGCCTCAGCATGAAGCAACCTTGACGCAGCTATTACAATGCGATCTTCGGAGACTGAGTTGCAAAACACAATAGAACTACGCGCAACTGGGTCGGAAATTGCAGGTCCAAAACCGGATCTCGACGCCAGAGCGAAAAAAAGACGATTTTGAAGCACTTTTCAAAAGGATTTTTAAAAGGAAAATTACTAGCGCCAAAATGGAGAAAATCTGCTGACAAATCACTGTCGCAGCCTTCATGCAGCCACTCCAATACGATTTATGAAGTCCAGCTGCAAAAGACAATAGTATTACGCATGCAGCCGCGGCACCAAGCAACCTTGACGCAGCCATTACAATGCGATCTGCAAAGACTGAGTTGCAAAACACAATAGAACTACGCGCAACTGGGTCGGAAATTGCAGCTCCAAAACCGGAATCTCGACGCCAAAGCGAAAAAAAAACGATTTTGAAGCACTTTTTAAAAGGATTTTAAAAAAAAAATCACTGGCGCCAAAATGGAGAAAATCTGCTGACAAATCACTGTCGCAGCCTTCATGCAGCCACTCCAATACGATTTACGAAGTCCAGCTGCAAAAGACAATAGTATTACGCATGCAGCCTCAGCATGAAGCAACCTTGACGCAGCCATTACTATGCGATCTGCAAAGACTGAGTTGCAAAACACAATAGATCTACGCGCAACTGGGTCGGAAATTGCAGCTTCAAAACCGGATCTCGACGCCAGAGCGAAAAAAAAAACGATTTTGAAGCACTTTGTCAAAGGATTTTCAGAAGGAAAATCACTAGCGCCAAAATGGAGAAAATCTGCTGACAAATCACTGTCGCAGCCTTCATGCAGCCACTCCAATACGATTTATGAAGTCCAGCTGCAAAAGACAATAGTATTACGCATGCAGCCAAAAGAGGAAGCAACACTTGCAATCCCATTTACATTGCGGGAACGATCCTACAGTTGCAAAGCACCAGCAACACTTGCAATCCCATTTACATTGCGGGAAGGATCCTACAGTTGCAAATCAAAATGGAATTTCATCGGCAACTCATCCAGGAGCACCACTTGCAATCCCATTTACATTGCGGGAACGATCCTACAGTTGCAAATCACAATGGAATTCCATCAGCAACTCATCCACCAGCACCACTTGCAACCCCATTTACAATGCGGGAACGATCCTACAGTTGCAAATCACAATGGAATTCTGTCGACCACACATGTACGAAAAACAGTTGAAACCCCATTTACAATGCGGAACCGATCCGACCATGATCCGAACATATCCGAGCATGATCCGACCACACACGAGACCGTCTCGCACCCGTCGCACCGCAGAGGTAGATCATCGAGGTTCGGGGACGGACTTTGTATGAAAAAACATAGGGTTTCGTGCATCTGCTATCTCTCAAAAACGCATTTCGTGCGAGACTTCCTTCAAAACTCCATCGGCAACTCATCCACCAGCACCACTTGCAATGCCATTTGCATTGCGGGAACGATCCTACAGTTGCAAATCACAATGAAATTCCATCGGCAACTCATCCACCAGCACCACTTGCAATCCCATTTACATTGCGGGAGCGATCCTACAGTTGCAAATCACAATGGAATTCTGTCGACCGCACATGCACGAAAAACAGGTGAAACCCCATTTACAATGCGGAACCGATCCGACCATGATCCGAACATGGTCCGAGCATGATCCGACCATGATCCGAACATGATCCGACCACACACGAGACCGTCTCGCAACCGTCGCACCGCAGAGGTAGATCATCGAGGTTCGGGGACGGACTTTGTATGGAAAAAACATAGGGTTTCGTGCATCTGCTATCTCTCAAAAACGCATTTCGTGCGAGACTTCCTTCAAAACTCCATCGGCAACTCATTCACCAGCACCACTTGCAATCCCATTTACAGTGAGGGAACGATCCTAGAGTTGCAAATCACAATGGACTTCCATCAGCAACTCATCCACCAGCACCACTTGCACCCCATTTACAATGCGGGAACGATCCTACAGTTGCAAATCACAATGGAATTCTGTCGACCACACATGCACGAAAAACAGTTGAAACCCCATTTACAATGCGGAACCGATCCGACCGAATGATCCGACCCATGATCCGACCACACACGAGACCGTCTCGCACCGTCGCACCGCAGAGGTAGATCATCGAGGTTCGGGGACGGACTTTGTATGGAAAAACATAGGGTTTCGTGCATCTGCTATCTCTCAAAAACGCATTTCGTGCGAGACTTCCTCCAAAACTCCATCGGCAACTCCTCCACCAGTACCACTTGCAATGCCCATTTACAGTGAGGGAACGATCCTAGAGTTTTAACTCTTTCTTTGACTAACTCTTTCCCTGACTAACTGTTTCTTTGACTAACTCTTTCTTTGACTAACTCTTTCCCTCACTAACTCTTTCTTTGACTAACTCTTTCCCTGACTACCTGTTTCTTTGACTAACTCTTTCTTTGACTAACTCTTTCCCTGACTAACTCTTTCTTTGCTAACTCTTTCTGTCACTAACTCTTTTCACTAACTCTTTCCCTGACTAACTGTTTCTTTGCTAACTCTTTCTTTGACTAACTCTTTCCCTCACTAACTCTTTCTTTGACTAACTCTTTCCCTGACTAACTGTTTCTTTGCTAACTCTTTCTTTGACTACCTCTTTTACTAACTCTTTCTTTGACTAACTCTTTCTTTGACTAACTCTTTCCCTGACTAACTGTTTCTTTGACTAACTCTTTCTTTGACTAACTCTTTCCCTCACTAACTCTTTCTTTGACTAACTCTTTCCCTGACTAACTAACTCTTTCTTTGACTAACTCTTTCTTTGACTACTCTTTCCCTGACTAACTCTTTCTTTGACTACCTCTTTCCCTGACTAACTCTTTCTTTGACTAACTCTTTCCCTGACTAACTCTTTCTTTGACTAACTCTTTCCCTGACTAACTGTTTCTTTGACTAACTCTTTCTTTGACTAACTGTTTCTTTGCTAACTCTTTCCCTCACTAACTCTTTCTTTGACTAACTCTTTCCCTGACTAACTGTTTCTTTGACTACCTCTTTGTTTGACTAACTCTTTCCCTCACTAACTCTTTCTTTGACTAACTCTTTCCCTGACATTCTAAAAGTCCGTAACACGGAAGTTTCTCCCCCTAAACTTCCTTTGATAATCTGATGGGACAAATTACCAGGGAATGTACTGATATACTGCAGTGTTACATGTAATATACTGTAGTATTACTTGGAGTATTACGTGGAGTATACCTCTATGATACTTTGATCACATCATTTCTCCATTCATCAGGCTTTGTTTGGTCATTTTCGGCTTTGTTTGGTCATTTTAATGGTGTATCATCCATTTTTCAAACATCATGGGTTTCAACAGGACACAGCTGGGAAGTGGCTAGCCCGGGCCATGCAACACAGACATCAAGGACGACATGAGACAACATGAGGAATCAAAAATGACTGAGGTAGGACAATTTGTAGGGAACCATGGTTTTTACACCAAATATATGGGGTTCCTGCAGATTTTCCCTTCAATGAATTCGGGGACATAGTTCATCTACTTTCATTGTTCAGAATGTTCTCAGACTGATTTTTTACAATCAAACTCAATTCATCCCGGGGATTATCACTCTATCACGGCCAGTCTTCACAATGTCAAGCGTGCTGAAGCACCTTTGGGCACCTTTGGGACAAGTTCGACTCCCAAATATGGACAGCGAAAACTATTTCATGAGAGTTGATACCAGAGCGTTGAAATCCTCCATTCCAAGGTCATGAGAATCACACCAAATCTCCTCTGTTTTTCCCATGATTTTCCCATGCTTTTCCAACGGATTTTCCGACCCGGGCGCAATTGGGTGCCCCACATAGCGCCATGAAGCACACCGTAGACCACAAAGCCAATGAGATGCTCCGCTGCATCCACTAAAGCGGTGCCCTGGCATCATCCACGAATCATGGCCAAAATCATTGGAACATCCCCCATTTGATATCTATTGACATATTTCTGTGGACTACTATTATTGTATATATGTTATAGATATAAAACGGGGGATGTCTATATATGATTGATATATTTTATATCTATCCATTGTTATAGAGTTGTAGATGTCATGTCATGTGGAAAATCCCCCAATTGTACTCATCTACGACTTCCGCTGATTTCCATGATTTCCCAGCCATGTCTGATGACACCCGAAACTTCATCGAATCCACCAGGGGGGCCATAGGATGGGCCTTCCAAATCCCGCCATCCACGATTTCCAGCACATCTTCTCGAAACTCTTCTTCTCCCAAGCTTCGCACCTGGGAAATTCGCAAAAAAAAAGGGATGAACATCACCAGAATTCACCAGATTTCCTCCCTTAATGTATGATAAATATCATATAAATTCAATCCTCAATACTACCATAGATGGGTTGAATCCCAATGGTTAAAATCCGTGGGTGGATCAACATAGCACATGAAGAAACAGATGACGCCGCTCCGGACGCCGGGGTGACCGCACCTGCGAGGTGACGGGTCCAGTGTCTTGAGAGACAGAAACGAGTTGCAAGGGTTCCAGTGGCACCTCACCATGGTCGCGGCATCGTGGCAGGGATTTTAGATCATGGATAGATCATGGATGGCAGTATGAAGGGACAAAATTCCAAGTGATTCGACGGCAGTTTTCCCCAAGATTCCAGCTCGGTCTTGGGAGTCTTGGGCTTAGAACCACAGCTGGAACCAGACATCATCTGGTAATTTTAATGGATATACCAGCAGTTTAAATGGGATTGCGCTAACGTATAAGCAAGTAGCCTGTAACACCATCCTATTGGTATCCAACACCACCGCTTAAAAAATGGTGAGGGACGGTGAGGGTGTCTTGGTTTGTGGCTGCTACATTCCACATCATTCCACTATGTCACTATGTCTACTTATGGTCTACTATCTGAAACATATATAAGGAATAGAATTGAATAGATCAGAAAAGAATATGCATAGATATGAATAGAATCCAAGATAAAATTGGTAATGCTTGAGGCGGCAAGCTAGGGTACTCCAATGTACTCCAGCATCCTCAGCCTGTAGAAGACGATCATCGGCCAAAAAACTATGAGTTCAACGAACAAGGCATCGGAAGACTTCACCGACTATCAAAGTTGTTATATCGACAATTGGCACCTTCTAAGCCACCTGGGCACGTGCCGCTGCAAAGTCGACATTCAAAAAGCCGCTGACGCTATACATGGTTTCAGACCATGTCGTTCCACGGAATCTTCGCATCACTGATTCTTCAAATGAATGTTGATGGCTTAAGGCTTCTAAAATACTCCCAAGGATTATTTTTTGGGGCGTGAAGCAGAGGTTAGTATGCTTTATTTCCTGAACCTTCGACAAGAAACAACAATTTCCAGACTGTTGGGAAATCTCAAGGTGAAGCACTTGAGATTTGCCTGTCTCTTTCAAGTGGCAATTCTCATATATTCAATATATTCAATATTTTTTCTCACATCTTTGATTTCAGATTTTCGATTTTCACCATTTTTCCATTTTTCGCCCATCTCCATGCAATCTCATGGCACCTGGAGGCAGCCCACTTTGGACTCTGCTGCCGTAGACACGCTGACTGGCACCACTGGCACCACTGGCACCTTGCTGGAGCCTTAGAGCAGATCTGTCAGCTGGCAGAAAAAAAACATACGTCTGGATCACAAATGATCACAATATATGGATGATACATTCAGATATAATACATATATATATATATATATGTATTTACAGATATATACATATATATATATATAATGAGAAAGTCATCGATCATCTCCAGTCATATCAACTGGGTTCACAGCTCAATTCACGTTGTGCCCATCGGGGTAGTGAACCGAGACGTAGCTCCTGGGAACACTTGTGGTCCTGCCTGTTGCGGGATACCCTGGGGTAAACTAACATAGATGCAAACAAAAAACATGGTTTCTCTAGGAAAATGTTCTGCAAATAGCGGCTTCTCCACTTCTCTACATTTTTTTGTACGTTTTAAGGAGGATATCCCAACACACATGGATCTGTAGGGTTAGATTGGTCAGGGATCTCTCAGCAAAATCTTCCAGGAAGATGAGAGTACAAACAAACATCCCAACAGTTGACCTAGAATCATCTACTTCGTCGAAGTCCTAATGGCTTTTTGTAAGGGTCTCTCCCCAGCCGTTGAAGTCACAGCGATTTATCAAATTACATCCTGAGGTCCTTCACCTTCCGAAATAGTTGGATCCATAGGGATGGAGTTTGGGCAAAACATACAGCAACCGACAGAATTATGGGAAAAAAAGTTACAATTGACAGGTGAGCTCCTGTCTATCACGGGAAAATTCTATAGACCTTTATTTTCCATATGTTTTGTCCATAATTACTTTTTTCTTCCATAATTCTGTCGGCTGGAACACATCCATCGATTCGCAGGTTGAATGCATTTTAAGGGGGAATATTAAGTTATGGAAAATATGAACTTGTCAAATAATCACGTATACGGCATACCCCCAGCAATTTCCAGTCTTGTGCCATTGGTTTTAAGCTATTGTCCGACCTATTTCAGCATTTTCCCATTGGTTTTCAGCAGTTGATCAACATATTTCAGCATTTTACCAAAACCGTTTCATCATGTGTTCAATCAATTGCATTGTGTTTGGCATTGACGTTCATCGGTTTTTTGACTTGTTTCATTATTTTACCATTGGTTTTAAACAATTTCCTGACCAATTTCAGCCTTTTTCCCTTGGTTTCAATCAATTGTCAAACCTGTTTCTGCATTTTTCCCTTGGTTTTCAGCAGTTGGTCAACATCTTTTAGTATTGTTTTTCATCCGTTTTTCAAATCTGTTTCATTATTGTTGCCATTGACTTTCGTCAGTTTTTCCTCCCGTTTTCTTCGGCACAATTTCAATAGGGGTTCTCTATTCAAAAATGCACTTCTGGGGCTGGATCTGACCGGCTACCCTTTTTGGATGATTTTCTGTGAAGCAATTTTTCTTACGGTTCTTGTTTCTTCATGTTTTTTCTAAAAATAACTGTCCAGGATAACTGTCCAGGATGACCAACCTATAGCAAAAAGTACACACATTTGTTGATCAGGTGCCCCAACATATATTTTTGCAATTTTACCTTTGGTTTTCAAATGTTTTAAGCAATTTTCCAAGCTATTTCAACCTTTTACCATTGGTTTTCAGCCATTGCTCAACCTATTTCAACATCTTTCCGTTGGCTTCAAGTCATTGTCCGGCCTATTTCAGAATGTTACCATTTTTTTCGTTTTTTTAAAAATCAATTTCATCATTTTTTGCATTGGTGTTCATCAAATTCAAAGGGAGTCCTTAATTCAAACAAGCACTTCCGGGGCTGGACCTGACCTGCTACACTTTTTGGATGATTTTGTGACAACTATCTTCTTACAGTTGCAGAATGATCCATCTACAACGAAAAGTACACATATTTGTCGGTCAGGTGTACCACCAAAAAGAAAACGATGTTGTACATATTATTTATATATATATATTTATATTTATATCTGCGGGATGTTGCCGATGTTGCCAGTTCCAAAGCCACCAATTTGGTTGATGGCATCTGTCGATCACAAAAAAGATCTGGTTTCAAAATGTGGATCCATGACATGGCCAACAGGTAGACCCCCCAAAGATTTAACTATGGAAAAAAATATATGGAAAAAAACCGGGGTAATTTGCTCCAACCCCCTGATTACACTGGAAACATCAATTATGGAAGATTTTGGGCATCTCCAAAAATTACAAAAAAAGGTTCAGATCACATCCGGGAAAAATTGAACCCTTACGGGGAAAACCCTAATTTTGGAGAAAACGGAGACAGGCGAGTTCCTGTCTAAGTTAGATTGTTTATGTTTTTTTCCCCAGAATTCTGTCGGTGACTATGTATATCAAATCATAAACTGAATTGTTCACGTTTGTTCTAATCTCATGGAATTGAATGGACTTGAATGGATTATTCACAAATTTAAGACACGAATGAACATATCAGTTCATCAAATGGACATCCAATGATTCATCATTGGACATTCATCATTCAACCATGATCATTTTATATCATGTAGACGTAGAGATATGAAATCCCAAAACCACCACTATCCATCACTATCCCCTTAAATGTTTTTAAATGGACCATTATGGATGTCATGAAGGTCCTCCAGTAAGGGCTGTGGCCAGGTGTTTGTGACGTCCAGGTCATGCCCCATTACGAGAGCATGGCGCGGAGGCGAAAAGAGAGGACAAACCGAGAGTCTAATCTCTATATACATATATATATATTAAATTATATTGGACTGTATTGTACTATATTAAATTATATTATATTATGTTAAATTATATATAGACATTATGTGATGTGTATATTTAATTATATTTATATGTTCCTTGTGTATTTGATATATAATATATTTATATGATATACATCGTACAAGTTTTCATACACATCGCAACCATTTGCTTCACTTTCTTAAGATCACCAAACCGTGTTTCTGACCATGAAAACCATGCATAACTGTCCTGGTGAAAACCGAACTCATCACACTGCTTGAACAAATTCAATGTGGAGCTGCAAGCCCAAAGATCAGCACGGGATGAATGAAGAAAGAACCCTTTCTCTGTTACTTCAAGTGTTCGAAAACCAGTGAAATCAAGAACTTCTGTGAAACAAATCGCCCCTTTTGCTACAGAAAATTCTGCTTCAGCGGCCGGAGATGCTGTATCTGGGCCTGAACATCAGGACATATCAGGACTCTGTTCTGGTCAAGTAGGGTGCAGATAGGTGCAGATTCTGTGAAATTTCTATCCTATCCCCCCGAGGGATTTTGATGGATTTTAAATCTAACATTGTCTAACCATTGAACCATCCCTTGTTTTCCTTGTTTTTGACCAACCAGTTTTGAGCCTCTGTTATGATGTGATATCATCTGTTCCATGAGCGACGCTTATTCGTGCATCTTGATTTCCTCCAATATAAGCTAAACCAATCGCCAGACCTTTGCACACTATCAGCGCCGGTCTGATGCTATTGAAATCGCAAATCTAGATCTCCAGATGAAAACTGGACAGCCCACCCGGGTGTGGTTCTCAGCGAAACAACCGAACAAACAGGAGGCCTCTTCCGAGTGGCAAAGAAACGCGGGAAACTCTTAAGGAGATGGGGTTCAGTGGTGATGGGTCAAGTCGGTCCGAATGTCAAAATGAATGTCAAAATGTAAGCCAACATCCAATGTTGCTGATGTCCATCGGTGCAGTTTTAGTCCTGTTGGTTTTGACCCACATCCGTGCCAGGCGGATTCTAAATCTGGAACTGCTCCCACAGTTCAACTGGCGCATCCCACAAATTGCAATCTGAGCCAAAGGACGACATTCGAATGCGCCACACCTGCACAGTGAGGGATTGAATCGCTCACAGATTGCCGACCACACATGCAAAGTGCATCAGAGTTCTGTGTCCACAGCAATTCGCAGAGGCGTCTTGGAATGCATGAAACTTCCAGGTCAGAGCAAAAAAAATGCCGGGAGAAGCGAACGCTAGCAAAGCCATTTCTTGCGGTACATGCCCAACTGCCCAACTGCCACTGAGGCTGAGGCTGGTCGCGGGTTCGCACTTGGAAATTAGGCACTCAGCTTGCTAAATGAAACAAAACTGAATGCCATATAGTTTTTTTTTAAGAAGTGAGACATAGTCAGCCTTCCCCTTGCAGTCTGATTCTGTCACTACACGTCACTGATACTTGAGCTTGGTGACAGGCAAAGCTGTGCCAAGCGCGCAGGTAGCTCTGCATCTTAGCATCGTCTCATGCCAAAGCCAGCATCAGGCCGCGTCACTACAAAATCTCTTCCTCTTCCAGCTCTGATACTTGAGCTTGATGACTGGCAAAGCTGTGCCAAGCGCACAGGTAGCCCTGCATCTTAGCATGGTCTCATGCCAAAGCCAGCATCAGGCCGCGTCACTACAAATCTCTTCCTGAGCTCTGATACTTGAGATTGATGACAGGCAAAGCTGTGCCAAGCGCACAGGTAGCTCTGCATCTTAGCATCGTCTCATGCCAAAGCCAGCATCAGGCTGCTCTGCGGCGATCTTTGGGCTTCTCCTCATTGTATGTGCTGAGCATGGATGAGCATGGCATCATATGGCATCCATGAGTTTCTTGTACTTCGGGACATAGCCTGGTTTCTTCTCCTTGGCATTCTCCTTGAAGAGGCAAAAGACCGTGGGGACGTCGCAGTTGCAAAGCTCCAAGTAGTAGCCATCGGGGTCACGCACAATGATCTTCCCTTCACTGTTCTTAAAAGCTTCCACCAAGTTCTCTCCCTTCTGAGGATCAGATGGAGTGTTTTGCAACGGCACCTCGTATTCCAGCAACTTCTCCAAGACCTTGTGTGGCTCATTGGTGTCCGATGATTCGACAGCTGATGGGGTCTCCTTGCAGAAAAACACCAACAACATCACGAGGACCACCAAAGCATTGCTGGTGATCAGCACAGTTGTTGCGCCCACAGGAGCTTCCAAGAGCTTAACTCCTGCCCCGGTCAAAGCGCAACACACCAAGAATGCCAGGCGCAAAGCCATGATGCGATTCACCCAAGTCCACACACAAAGAACTAAATAAAGCCACAACTTGGCTTGAGACCAGGGCTCTGAGCAAGGTTCAATGAAGCCATCAGCAAGTTAAAAGAAGCTGGCCTATGTCATACCCGAACAAAAGTACACTGTACGTGCTGCTTCTCCAAATCCTGTGTTCATTATATATCTAAATAAACCTGCACATGTATACTTTATGCTTGTTTATGGTTGTTTTTATCAAAATTCGCTTGCGTTTTGATTCTTTGACACGTTTGAATTCTGCCTGCCTTGCCATAATTGTAGGAGCTGACATTTGCTTTGATGTGTTTCACAAAATGAAGACTCAAAAAAAAGTAACACAAAGACACAAAAGTTCGTTCTTCTGACCCATCGACCCCGCATGTGGCTCATTGCCTTCGCCACCCGAAAAGGTGACAGGTTCGAACTCACCCGGGTCCGGACCTCAGCAATCCGTGCTCAGAGATGGGGTTTATTGGTGAGTCAAGTAGTCGCTCCGAATCCCAACTGGGTCAATTAGTCGCTGGGAATGCCAAAAGTTAAACCCACAGCTGGATGACTCACAATGGGGGTATCAACCAGCAATCACGGATATGAAAATTAGGCATCAACAGCTTTGAAACCATTTGAACATTACCAGTTTTTAATATCATATTATATGTTGAAACCAACTCAGATTGTTATAATATGTTGCAAAGAAACGGGACTTGATGATTGGGCGGAGTGGAATTCATGCCTGAATCTTTCAAACATTTAATCTGCTCTAGGACTCTAGGATTCGTGTCTCCACAGTAGCATGTCGAATGGCTCTCCATGACATGCCAAACCCCCCACCTCGTCGATCAGGAAAATTGCCTATCGCGGGGAATGAAAAGCCAAACGAAGAACACAAATACTTTTTCAAGTAACAAAACTCTAGACTCTAGATCCATTGTGTCATGGAAGTTGATTCGGGGGATACACACCAGGCTTCGAGGAGATTTCCTTCCCGTTCTTATCGATTGCAATTTTAAAACATAAAAAACTTGCTGTACATTAAGAAATAAAATATAAGCGATGGCACCCCCTACAAAGGAAGGACCGGCAATATTTAAGGTTGCAAGAACAACTCATGAAGGAAACATGGCATGCAACGAAATTAATTGTGTCGCTTTCATGCTATATAAATCGGTCTAGGTGAACAGCAATCGTGCAAGACATGACAGGAAAACAAATGGCAAATGCTGCTCGAAACAAATGAACATCATTTCCAAACATCCGAAGGCATGACATGTTTTTCTTGAACGACTGAAAGCATTGATTAGTCTTTTCGTCAAAACTAAAGTACGCGCTGCTTTCCTCAAATCTTATGTTCATTAAGCCTTCGTACGGTATGGTTGTTTTTTTAATCAAATGTCAAAAGTCAAAGCTCCCATTTCGATTCTTTTACTTTTAATTATTTTACATGTTTTAATTCTTTCTGCCATTCCACAGTCAACAGTTGTAATTGATTAAGGAAATGCAAGCCGGCAATGCTGAACATTTCTCTGATGTGTTTATAAACATGAAAACTGAAAAAAAACACAAACACACACAGGCTCGTTCTTCTGGCCCGCCTTCGCCACCCACCTAGAAGGGTCACAGGTTCGAACTCACGCAGCTCCAGACCTCAGCGAAGCGAGCCGGAAAAAAAAACTCCGAGTGGCAAGGAAACGCGGGAAACTCTTAAGGAGATGGGGTTCAGTGGTGATGGGTCAAGTCGGTCCGAGTGTCAAAATGAATGTCATAAAATGTAAGCCAACATCCAATGTTGCTGATGTCCATCGGTGCAGTTTTAATCCTGCTTGGTTCTGACCCACATCCGTGCCAGGCGGATTCTAAATCTGGAACTGCTCCCACAGTTCAACTGGCGCATCCCACAAATTGCAATCTGAGCCAAAGGACGACATTCTCGTGCGCCACACCTGCACAGCGAGGGATTGAATAGCTCACAGATTTTGCGGACCACACATGCAAAGTGCATCAGAGTTCTGTGTCCACAGCAATTCGCTCTCTCTGAGGACTTCCAGGTCAGAGCAGAGTGCTTAAGACTCAAACAAGACTCTTGGAAAACACGAGCGGCTTAAGATCTTTTCAGACGAACTGCTAACAGCCATTTCTTGCGGTACATGCCCGGCTGCCACTGAGGCTGGTCGGGAGGGTACGTGCCCGGCTGCCACTGAGGCTAGTCGGGAGGGTACATGCCCGGCTCAGTACTGAGGCTGCTCGGGAGGGTACATGCCCGGCTGCCACTGAGGCTGCTCGGGAGGGGTTCGCATGAGAGGTGTTCATAAACAAGCCATTTAAGAAAGGCCCTAGGCCCTAGGCAGTCAGCTTGCAGGGAAAAAAGCTGAATGCCAGCAATTGCTCTTGCGCGGAAAAGCTGAAGCTGAGCTCAGCGTGCGCAAACGAGGTAAAACATAGTGCTTCTCACTCACTGACTCCATCACACGCAAATCTCTTCCTCTTCCAGCTCTGATGCTTGAGTCTGGGAACGGCCAAAGCTGTAGCTCTTGCGCAGGTAGCTCTGCATCTTGGCATCATCCTCGAATGCCAAAGACAGCATCAGGCCGCTCTTGCGGCAACCACGGCCTGCGGAGCGGTCAGCATCTTCGAAAGGCTTTGAAGCAAACATGCT